CAGGGAGACCAAATCAAGCCCCAGCCCTTGGATCTCCCAACAAGACTGCTGTTTCTTAACATTTAAATATGCTGCTGCTTCTGGCAGTCACTTGTAAATGTCTGTTAACCTTTTGTCATATTAATAATAATATTACTAATAACCAATAATCAATAACCACACTATCCACAGCATTAACTGAGCACTTACTGAGACAGGCTCTATTCCAAGCACTTTACATGTATAAGTGAATACAATAGACACGACAGTCCTATGAGAAAGGACTTTACTTTTGCTATTACTCCCATTTTACAGATGAGGACACTGAGGCTCAGAGAGTGGACATGCCAAGGTCCAGGGCACAGGAAGGCAGGCCTCTGCCTCCATCTCATAACTCCCAAAGCCTGGGGGATCAAAACCTCTGGGAACCAAGGTGGGGAGCTCCCCCTCTGGGGGAGTCTCTGGGGCTGCAGCTAGTAGAGGACCTGAGGTCTCTTGTCACTTGTCTCTGCAACTTATTCTCCTCCCTCCCCCTGCAAATACCGTTCCCATCATCCTGCCAGGCCTCCTCTCAGAGGCAGGCTCTGGAAGGGAGCTGGGAAATGCTGGCGGAGGCCAAGGAGAAGCAGGCTGTCCTCCATCTATGTGGTGGCTCTGTCCTCAGTGACCGGGGACCTGGCCACTCCCAACCCTAGGGATATAGAGCAGCAGAATCTAGAATGGGAATGGGGAAGGAGACCATCTCGTCCAACTTCCTCAGTTTACACCAAGAAAATCAGTATCTGAGAGCTGAACAGACTCTCAAGGTCATCAGCAAGTCCAGCAGCTGCTGGCGGTCCTGAGCCTCCACAAGGGCTTCTCCTTCTGCACTCTTACATTCCTCTCCTCTGAATATTAAAAAAAGGTTATTAGTAGCATCATACTAAGAAAACATTATTAAAGCAACAAGAAGACCTGCCATGTGTCTAGTGGTTACTCTGTGCCAGGTAATGTGCCCCGGGATTGTTTTCTCACTGGGAAAATGGGGATAATGACAATGTCTCCCCTGCTGACCTCACAGCAAGGGGTCAAGGTTAAAGGTGACAGTGGATACGAATCGTCATTTTATAAACTGGGAGACATCGTCACTGTGGTTATCTTTGAATGCTGGGCATAGGCATTAGAAGTAAGTGCTGCAGCTCCTACCAGTGAAATCAAATGGCATTTAGGGCCCAGAAACAATCAGTTCTTCCAGGGTTAGATCCTCTCAGGAAAGCACTCATCCATCCACCTGAAAATCATGTTGAGCATCTGCTGTGAGCAGCCTCAGGAGTTCAGCCCAGTGGCTTTGATCATAGGCTCTGGACCAAGCCCTCCCAGGCCTGAGTTCAAGTCCTGTCCTTGCTCCACTTCCCAGCCAACCGTGGACTTCCCTCTCGGAGCCTCAGTGTCTGGGTGAGGATGCCAGCCCAGCCCCTCTAGCAGAACCCGTATCACAGTTGCTATAGGAGAGAGGAGCTAAGTTGATTTCTCTCATTTCAGAGGCTTTTCTCCTTTCAGTCTAGGGATGACAGGCTGCCCTGTGAACTGGTCCAGGGCTGAGGCTTTTTCTGTCTTTCCCATCCCTGGGGGAT